GGGGGGGGGGGAGGACTGGGCCGGGCAGGGGTGGACTCCCTTCAGCCACGGTGCTCAGGCCTCTAAGTGCCTCTATGACCCATAGCTGGTCGAAGGCTGTGAGCTTGGACGCGCCAGCTGCCTTGAGCTGCGGGAAGGTCCTGAGAGCAGTGGAGCTGGGCCACCGGCACGCTGCTCGGAGTGAACAGTGAGTGACTCATCCGAGGGGGTCTGGGTGTCACCAGAGTGGGCACAACATCCCTCCTTAAAGGACAGGATCTTCAGACCTTCTCACAAAGTCAAGCCTGGCTCTGCTGTATTCAAGAGACAAGCTTGACAAAGTGTCTCGGGAAGGCTGGAAGAAAGGACCGGCGACCGGTGAGTAGCAGCAGGTGCAAACGGGAAGGGGAGGCCGTCTCCTCACCACCAGCAGCGAGGAGCCAGGCTGCCCACGTGGCCTTGCTGCCCCCTCCTGTCAGCAAGGTGGGGTTACCCATGGGTGGGGCAGGGAGTCCTGGCTTTCTTCTGGGCCTCTGCCAGCACCCCAGAGCTGTCTCAAAGGGGTGCCTCGTACCTGCTGGGTGGGCTGCAAGTCCAGGCTCCCTGCCTGGTCTCCACCTGACGTAGGGGATGCAGGGGAGGCCCTGGTTACTGCCCGGAGGTGATAAAAGTTGAAGCTCCCCACTCTGCCCCTCCAACACCACCCTGGGGGGGAGAGGTGAGGGGCGCTGGGGGCAAGCCGAAGCCTCGGCTCCCCGCTTCCCCTTTGCGGGCTGGGATGGGGGCAGGAGTGGTTCTGGTGATTTGTTTCAGAATCTAACTTGCAAATGATAACCAGAACCGAACAAAGCTGGGGGCCAGTTTGTTCCCTTTGAAATAAACTGACGAAGCTTGTTTTGAGTCAATGATGAAGAATAAAGGATGTGTTTGATTCGACAGACCAGTTATTAGAGTTTCTTAAAAGAGAGCAGGGCCTTCCCCACAGACAGTTTATTTTTTTTAAGACTCTTGGCCAGATCTGAAAATAAATTCTCACAGTACCAGAGATCCACCTACCAGCGCATCTCAACATTAAGGAGCCAATAAAAAATAAATAAAAACCTTCCCTGCCCAGTGTGGCTCAGTGGTTGAGCTTTGACCTATGAACCTGGAGGTCACTGCTTGATTCCCGGTCAGGGCACAGGCCCGGGTTGTGGGCTCGATCCCCAGTTGGGGGCGAGCAGGAGGCAGCCGATCCATGACTCTCGTCATTGATGTTTCTCTCTCTCCCTCTCCCTTCCTCGCTCTGAAATTGATAAAAACATAATAAATAAGAAACCCTTCAGGTTGGCAACATGTTATAGAGAGAACTGTTCTTTGTGACACTTTGCTCAGTTTGAGACACTGATCGAGTCCTGATAGTAAGGAGGCAACACAGCCCTTCTCGTCACGGAGAGCGACTGCCGAGAAGTTCAGTCATCAGAAAACATTTATTTAGCAACACACCTCGGACGGAACCTCCGTAGCCGTTTCCTGACCCGTCTCCATGCGGACAACCCCTGATTGACCAGACTGATTACTTTATTGAAGAGAAAGAAACGTTGCTTCTAATTTCTAACAGATTCGTGGGGAAGTGGAGAAATCACCCAACGTTCTTGCTCTGATCAGTTCTTCTGTGGATCTCCAGCGGCCCCACCACCTGGAGGTGCTGGGCCTGCTCTTCCGCGGCGCCCGCACCCCTCCAGCCCCGCCCTGCGCAGCCCCGGGAGCAGCGGGAGGAGGGGTCCCCCACTTTGCACACGGTGACCTCACACTGCAGGTAGATCACGCTGTAGCTGCTGAGGAAGCCGAAGGCGTTGAACCTGAACTGGGCCGTGCTGTCCCGGGGGGGGTGCAGGTTGACGAAGGTGTCGTCTTTGATGCACCTGGAGGAAGAAGAACCCAGAGCAGGAGGAGTAACTGGCAGCACAGGAGAATCACCGACCCCAACGTCAGGCCTGGGCCCAGGCCTCTGAACTCCAGGTGGAGTTGTCCCCACTACCACTCTTTGTTTTACATAAAAAAATTTATAACACTGCCTGTTGGGGGGCAAGGGAGCTATAAGGTGAAATGACACCCGAGTTCTAACTTGACAAGTCCTTTGTATAACTGGAGGAGCCGGAATAAACGGTGCTGAGCCTGGGCTAACCCGCCACAGCCCGGTGCCCCGAGGGGTGGGGAGTGTAAACAGTCATAAAACTCAGAGAGAAGGGAGTGGGCAGGAGGGGGGATGGGACAGCAAGGGCTCTGCCAGGACTCGGGAGAGTCAAGGGAAGTGGTCCACATGTCCCGTAACTACTTGCCCCTGCTGGGGTCAGAGGTCAGGTGAGGGCCTTGACACTGCCTCTGCGGCAGGATGGGGACCCGTTCGCACAATCTCATGATTTAGGACCAGTTGAGAAGCCAAAGGTTCCCCCAAAGGAATGCCACGGGATGCCACAGTCCACCCAGGAGGGCCGTCCCCTCCCTTACCCTCGCCGGATCAAGTCGTACTTGACAGTCGTAAAATCACGGGGGTCTGGAGAAGCCACGCAGGTGTCCACAGAGACCTTCAGGCTGCGATCGGGGCTGTGGACTGTGACCTGGAGGACAACCTCCTCTCTCTGGCTGGCGTAGTGGGGCCCCAGGCTCCCCACCGGCGAGGCCACGGGCAGCTCGAGGAACGATATGGACACGTCGTAGCGGGCGCCCGGCCTCTGGACGTCTGCCCCAGGAACAATTTCAATTGCTGACGGGCCACTCATGGTGCAGGTGAACTTCAGCTGGGGCACCCGGTGCCGCACGACCACTTGGCCAGGGTGGCCCCACACCCGGCCTCGGATGGAGTTGGAGTAGCTGAGGAAGCCGAGGCTTTCCTGGGGGACGAGAGGAGAGTCGGTGGCCAGCGCTCCTGGCTCCCGACAGGCACCTTCCTCCGTGAGCAGGGACCTCTGCTGCTCGGGGCCAGCTTGCTGACGGGTGTCCCGGGAGGCCTCGGGCCTGAGCTCTGTGCCACCTAAGGCCCTGACCGGTGACCTTGCTCCTGGGAGCTCAGGGTGTGTGCAGGGTGCCTCCGGTGGGTGAGCCTGACTCCCTCCTCCCTCCTGTGAGGGCCGGGCCGTGGTGGTGTGAGAGGGGGCGGTGGGTCCACCACTCTGGCTACTCAGTTCCCACCTTCCGCCCCCGGTGCTCAGACAAGCACAGCCCCCCCCCCCAACATCGGGGCTCTAACCCTTTGCTCCGGTTCCTCCCTGTTCTCGAGCCCAGACCAGTCCTGGCCCATGAGCTGTGACCTGCAGGCTG